GGGGGTAGGATGAGTGGTAGAAAAAGTCTCTCTTTGCAAGACTAGAGAAAATGGTACTTTGTGGAAAATGGGTATGAAGAGGAGGAGAGTATAGTAGGAAGCAGATGGAAAGGAATGCAGAGGGAGAAAAACGGATGTGGCAGAAGCTGGAAAGATTTAGTAAATAAAGTCAGTAACATCTAATAAGAATATCACATACACACATACTTGCTGGCTACCAAATAGTTTTACCTGTGGAACATGCAGGTCCTTCTTGTCTACTTTTTTTTCTTAACAGTGTAAAGAAAAACCCTGGATTGTCCCAGAAGGTGGTATCAGTAAAACTACAGAAAAGATTCTGCAGTATGGATGAATTCATGCTATATGTGTGAAGAAATAGGTTGGCCTCTAGGTGTCTAGAGCTTGACATACTCCCTTAAGAAATAAGCAAAAACGGTCTCTAAATTGAGAAAGTTTGTAGTAATCGGCAACAAAAATTAATGTGGAACAGATATATGGTAATATGTACTATCCATCAATATTTTTTAACCTCTTATGACTCTTGTTTTACCAATTTCAGTGCTGCTAAGATACTGTTCAGAAGTTATGTTCCAACTAAGTTTCAGTCATATACCTGAGAGGATGCACTTCTGTGGTATCCTTTTGCTGTTAAGTTAGCAGCTTCCACAGACATTTCAGCTTTTAGGTTTTAGAAGAAATATGGATTATTTTGAAAAACTGTCATAGTGGATTAGATCAGAGGTGTTTCTAATATGGTGTTTGTTTCCAGTAAATGCCTAGAGAGAAATGCAATACTATAAGGTGGTATTTCCGCAAATACTATCCCTGTCTCTGTGATTTGTGACTTGGTGTTCCCTGAGCCTAGGCCTGTAGCTCTCTCTGTTTTAAAAAGAAAACCAAAAAGCAGTGGCACAGATTTTAATGACTTAATCCATGAGGTATGTATTGCATGTGCTTTTGCAGTCCTAAGTTTAAAGACAGACTATTTCATCGCAGACATTGCCTGTCATTTTAACCATGGCTGAGTTAGTAGCTTTGACAGTTGTTGGTTGGATATATTTTTCCCAAGTTCTAGGAAAAGGTTTTAATTGGTAAAGTATGTGCAAAATCCCCAGGATGACTGTATTTTAATTCAGTACTGTTTTGCTATAACTGCAGAAGTGGAATGGAATTTATTTTTCAGAAGATAAGATAAAGGCAGAGTTTTAGGAGGTAAAATTATTGACAACCAGAAGTTAAAACAGTAGTATTAACCAGGGAGATAGGAGAGGAGGAAGAAGTATTTGAGCAGACATAGGAAGGAAATACTATGCTTTTCTTGCCAGATTTCATGTTTGACACCAGTCTTTGGCTAGTGAGTACTTGTTCAAATAGCTGGGAAGGCGGAGGAGTGTTTACCTCCTATTTGGTGCAAGGCAGATGGATGTGGGGGGTGTGGTGAGTGTTTGTGTATGTACCATTGTGTGGGTGAAATGGAAAAATGTGGCCTCTGCTTATTTCCTCTTCTCACTTCCATTTAGGTAATACACTCATAAGTGTTTTAATCATAACATTGATGAAATCTCAAACTGTTCCTTTTTTTTCTTTTTAAGAGAAAAAGAATACTGCTGAATCACTGCTGCAGGGGAATATAGGAAAGAAATAAGAAGTTGTTCAGACTGCAGTGGTTCTGTGCAAAATCATTTACACATTTTTCTGTAACACTTACGTTTAGAAGGTGGTGTTAGATGGCCCTTAAACTGACTTCCATCTGGTATAAGCCAGTGCTGGTACAGGAGAGTGCTGCATGAAACAAGTACAGAACAAATTCTGACCAGATCCAGGTCTAACAGGTTTTTACTCCTTTTTCTTTATCTGGGTCTGATGATACGAATCACCTCAAGTGGTCAAAAGGGAGTCAGACCCAAAGCCTCACAGGTCTGTGAAGGATTTGGTTTTGCTGTGTCACTCTGCGTGTGTAATCACTTTTGAGCATAATTGGAGTTTGGAGTCCGTTAACATGCAGTGCCAAGTTGCACCTGGGCGTTTATACCAGTTGCATATTTTGTACTGAGTCCTTCAGTATTTATGCTTTTCTCTTGCACAAGAGCCTGGTGGGATTTGTAAGTTTAACACAAGAAGCAGGGAGTGCTGACTCCTTGTTATTTCAGAGGAAGAGCAGCATAGAAGCCTGTTAGCAACATCTCTTCTGCAGGGGTGGCAGAACTCCACCGCATTTCTAAGGCCCCATCCATGCCAGCGTTCACACCAGTTCTCTCTGGCATGACTAGGCAAATCTAGTGTGTGCCTGGCAGCTCATCCTGGGTGAAAAGCTTGGGATGAAGCCAGGGAGGGTTGCAAGCTGTGTGCCTGGGACTTGTGCAACAGGGCTAGTGTTGGCAAAAGGGAGGCTAATGGCAGTTGGGCAGAGCAGGAGAGTACAGGAGGGAACAAAAGGAGTCTCAGACACAGCCTGGCTGGTGGGAGATACAGATGTTTAGATTGGCATCTTACCCTAATGTTAGCCAAAGGTGCAGAACCTTGTTAAATTGCTCAGCAGGAGTTCAAGCCCAAGCGTTGCTCAGTCTGGTGAGCGCATGATAAGCCAGCCATGTACAGTAGAGAATGATGGGAAAGCAGTTGCACAGGAATGTTTTCTTTTATAAATTGTGTTTTTATTGAGCAGCTTTTTAATTTTTTTATCAAAGCTTGACTGAATGCTTCCCTCTCGAGAGTGCTGAGAGGGGGAAGCTGGGGTTTAATTCACTGGAGGCATCATAGTGCCATTTCGGTTCTGGGTACCAGCTGCTGATCTGGTGGAGTGACTCCATGGAAAAAAGTGACTTTTAATAAGAATTCTCTGTGTGTATGGTACATGCTCGAATTACTAATGGCACTTCTCCAGGCAGCCTTACTTTGGGAAGAGAATAGATCTACTCATAGGACAAAATACTTGTGCAGAGAGGTGGTCTAGGAGGGTAATGTTCAGTCAAAGATTTGTGTCTCAGGCAAAAATTGGTATCTTTGTAGCAGGACAATGCTGTCTGGAGAGTCTGTGCCTCTTGGTGTCAGATATTAAAGTATATTTTAATTTAAAACCAGAACAAAACAACAACAATAAAAAACCCTCAAGGAAGTATTTATTCTTAGCACCCCCTGGTGGGGAAGTTCTTAGTGTCCGGATTTTGTAGCGACATACAAGAGTTTTTAAGATCTTTTGTATTATTTTAAATTGCTTTGTCTATTAGGTACCTCTGATGTTCCCGGGAGCTTACAGCTTCTGATAGAAGAAATTTCTTAATATGATGCCTACCAACAATGTTACCATGTGTAAAATACTTTGTTTTTTCCTTCATTGTGGTGGGTATATATTGTTTGTTATTTTGTTTTGAATATTTATAACAATTCACCTGATGTTAGATATTCACATACCCTCATGAAGACGCCACACACGTGGCATCATACAGAATTTTTAGCAAAACCAGTGAGTATAGCAGAGACTGAAGTAAGTGCTGATTTAGAAACCCAAACACCTGCAAGACAGGTTGCTGTCATTTTAAGGGAAACAAGGTAGGCCTAATTTCATTTCACTTTTTTGCTGCCATGAGAGCTTTTTTACTTGCCTGCTTGTCATTTTCTGTGTGTTTGGAATGCCATAGTGATGAGAATTTGAGCCACTGAAGAGAACAGCGTAGAGCTGGTTGTTTCTCAGTCGTACCTGGGAACTGTACCCTCCGTAAGGAGTCCCTTTAGGCTCCTTTTGGTTAAGAAGGGGAAGCTTTTCCCACGGCACTTTGGAAATTTGAACATGTGGGCTTTACTTTGCCAGGTGTGCATCTTTCTAATCTGCCAGAGATCGCCAGCTTAGTTGCTACATGGTCCCTTGGGAATGCCCTGTGTATTCTGTGAGGTCTAACTGGGGCTTTTAACCTGCCTCTGGCAAACAGGGCCTTACATGATCTCCTGGTTTGCTTTGTGCAAACACATTCTGGCTAAGAGATGTGTCCAGGAGGGAAGGTTTTTATTAAGAATAATATAGTTTCTCAGAAACTTCTCTGGTAAAGCCAATTCTTGTGCATTCCTACTAACTTACTTTCTCCTCCTTTGTAATGGGACTTGGTAATGCTTCGAAAAAATCAGTTTCTCCAGGAATTTAGAGTTATTGGAGTTATACAACACTCATCTCTCCCTGATGGAAAACTCCTATGCCTGTTACTAACAGTTGCATGCTTTACATTGAGGAAAAGGTGGATGGGATGCGGTAGAGCATTCTGACATGGAGAGAAGAGGAGGTTGAAGGTGTGGAATACTAGTACTGGCAAAGCTGGTAAAAGAAATCCAGATGTATAGAAGAGAGATGAGTAGGAGGGTAGAAAAAGCAAATGATAGGCTAAGTGTTTAGAAGTTAAGATAATCTTTACCTAGTTAATCACCTGCAGTGTCCTGTCCAGAGAAATGTTACGTTCAGGCTTGACCTTAACCTCCATAGTGAAAACTGAGCACAGGGAAGAAGGTACAGCTAGAAAAAACCCACCCAGCCTGAATCCTCAAAGCCCCGGAGGATTACACACCGTATCTGTATGAAGTACCCAACTTCCCCAGCACATCTGTCTGCTGTGGCCACGTGGTTTAGAGCACAGGTTTCCGAGGTCAGATCAGAGCGCTCTGTGTGGTGGGGTGTGGATAATCTTGGAGAGTATAAACTCCAAAGGGATACCAACTGTTGATTATTGCTACCCTTCTTCTCCATATGGGATCTTCCTACAGGATTTCATTTTGAGCTACAGCTGTGGTATTCAGGCACGAAACTGAATCATAACCATATTTTAATTTGAGCTGCTAAGAGGTCTCCCATCAGGAATACTCAGCTGGTGTGTGACTTATCCTCACCTTGACAGAGCTTTCTGCAGGACAAGAAGTATCTTCTGTAACTGTTCTTGATGTTCTGAATAAAGAATGTTTTGCTTGTAGTGGTCTGCTTGGCTGCTTTTTAACCGTTTAACTTTGTGCTCTTTCCTTAGAGGATGTGCTGAGTAAAGATGCTGGGGAGTGTGCAATATGCCTGGAAGACCTGCAGCAAGGAGATACTATAGCACGGCTGCCTTGCCTCTGCATATATCATAAAGGGCAAGTATTTCTCAGGATGCACATAAAATGCCAGAAGGCTGCATTTGTTGGGTAGCTCCTCTAAGGGGTGCTTAAAGGAGCACTAAGATTTAGTTGCTTTTTACATTTCAAACCAAACAAACAGCAAAGAAACAACATCAGCAACCCTAAAGATGCTTTAAAATGGTATCCTTCTGTGTCCCGACCCATGGATTTGCAGTCAGTTTCCCTGCTGTTGTTGTCTTATGCTTGCATGAAAAGCCCACAAGAAAAATTAGGCAAAGTCACCTGTATGGGGAAGGAGTGTACGTCATGGGTAGGGGGCTTAGGTTGTGTGTACTTCAGTTTTGTCAGGTGCTAGTAGACTTGGGAGGGCAGAGGAGGGGACACCTTTTAAACCTGTGTCGTATCTGTTTTCACAAGCGTCTGTGTCTGTAACTACAGGAAGTAAAATGTCAATGAATGATATAAGCAAGATGATACTGATAGTAGTGAAGTAACCTGTGTATAAAAGCTGGATAGTAACTTGTAAAATGCTTCCTTAGAAAATTTTAGCACTTAGGAAATTCAGTTTTTCAATAGTGTTTAATATCCAAATATTACTGTGGTTTGGGGTTATTAAATTTTCCAGTGATGTGTGTATACGCATATACTTATTTGTATAATATACAATCTTCCTAGTCATTGAAATTGAGAAACCAATTTATATGCATATCTGACTGCTGAACGTTACTGAGATATTAATGTCAGTTGTTTTCATTTGTGTCTTGTATCCAACAGCTGCATAGACGAATGGTTTGAAGTAAATAGATCTTGCCCTGAGCATCCATCAGATTAAGACAAGATTCATGGTTTTAGGTAATATTTATTTTTAGACGTGTACATTTTAACAATAGATATCTTGAATATCTGAAATCACTCTTTATGCTGGTGTTTTTAATTTGTGAATGTGCTACTGTGTCTCGGAACTGCAATATTAATCAGCAAGTATTGACGTGTATTGCAATATGTAAAAGGGTTCTGCATCCTTATATGGCATGGTCTAAAATGGTGTATTCCAGTTTTAGTACTGGAAAGTGGCAAGTCTGTGCCAATAAGGCTTTAGCATTAACTTTGAAAGAGTATTTTTTCCATGGAAATAAAGCAAAATCAAAATAATACAATTGTGTAATTTTGGCTTGTTCCATGAGCACGGGCATTTATTTCTAACGGGAAGCTTTTGGAATCGTATGAAAAAGTTCAAACTAGGTATCTTCAAAACCACTTTCATGCTAATGCATTCCAGAATGTTTAAAATGGAGAAATAAATAAAAAAATGTGAACATATTTCTCTCCATCCCATCTCACAGAGGCTCACATTTTTCTATCTTATGCCTTACGTTGTGTTAATGATTTCAGATCTGCAATCAGTGTCAAAGGTTTAAAGGATAGGTTTATTCCTTTAGTCGACTAGTTTGAAAACATTATCTTCTATTAAACTATTGCCCCTGAGCATTGCAAAACACAGCAACAGTCTTAGAGAATTCTTAGCTAAATGGTAGCTTAGGGTTTAGTTTTGTTGTTCTGACAGAAATTAAAAGAAAAATAATACTCCGAAGAGTTCGTCATTGATATTTATTTGTACATTGGTTTGATCTTGCTTCATGAGTCTGCGTTGCAGGTCACACTGCAGTGCTATGCTTATTGCAGGGGTAGCAGAGGAAACCTGAAGGCAAGTATTCTGCCACAGGGATAATTGTTTTAACCTGAGGGCAGTGTTATCCAAAATTAATAAACAAACACGTTTCCTATATTGCCCCCAACAATTGAACTGTGGAAGAAGCTGTCGCTTAAACCACGACAGAAGCCCATTTTGAACACATTCGTCTTTGTACATGCTCATGGGTGAGCATCGTGTTAAATTCTATTTGCTTTTCACAGCAGAGATGCTGATAACTGGAGGCTTAGGGAAAAGGGGGAAGGGAAACACACAGTGGTTGTGCCTGTGCTGTTTGAGTGTGTTGTATACTGAAATAGCCAAAATGATGGTACTTTGTCTTCTGCTTTTTCAACAGCTGCTTCCCCTGATCAGAAAACACAGGACGTGTGAGGTTCCTTTGCTGAACGCAGCATGCCTGGCTTGAGACTCACAGTTCTTTGTGGCTGAAAAAGGCGAGGATGGACAGTGACATGGAAAAAGCATTGCAGAAACTGGTTACTTGCCGGTAGTGCTCAGTGTACCAAACACTCATGCAAAAGACACACAGGGATTTTAAAAATGCTGCACATCCTGTAACAATCGACTCCCCACAGACGTTACTGACACTATTTTGTATCGAAGGCCAAAGTTCCTGATTTCAGCCTCACTTCTGGTTCTGTGAAGAAGCGGGTTATTGGACATGTGCCTCAAGTGGAAGTGGAGATGTTCAGTACGTGCTATCTGAGACCCTTGCAAGAAGATGGCCCCGGTTTTGTGTGGGAATGTTTTCACCTTCTTGTTGGCTGAAGAACAGTAAAATGGCAAACTAAATAGAATCTAACAGTGTGACCTTGATTTGCTGAATTCACACCCTGTTTTGTGTTCCTCACTTTTTTCAAGAACAGAAAACATAAACTTCTCTGCATAGGAATACTGTACTTCAGAATTTTGTAACTAAATGTTGGTCACAATGCAGTCCAAAGAGTAAAACCGAGACAGGCAACTAACTTCTATTGATCCAGCTATAGGGATTGTTGAAATCTGCACATCGTGTTGCTATTTAAATAACTAAAACTTCTCTTTTACTGCTTGTGAGTAAAAACAACAACAACAACAACAACAAAAATTGCAGCAAAGCAAAACCTTACAGCTATGCAACTTTTTTTTAACTAGGGAAAAAAGAAGAATTAACCAGTTTTAAGTGCTGCCAGTTCAAGGTAATTTGTTTAACGGGTATTTTTTTAACAATGTTTCAGGTAATTATTTTATTGTACTACTATCATCTCCAGGCTGCCTCCTGATGTGTAAATGAGTAACTGCAAATGCGGGCACAGCAAGAGGTTTATATAGGCATGGGTGAGAGAACATCGAGGTGGGATTTGTGCTTCAGTTCTAAAACACGCAAGGTTCTGTTTCTTTGTTTGAACGTGGGTTTTTTTGATGACAGGATCTGTAGTACTTTGCATCTAAGTCCTTGGTCTCTTCATGTGGAGACCAGCATTTGACAGTGTGGTTTGGGTTTTGTTTCATTTTGGTTTTTTAATGTACCTGCATTTGTTTAATTTATTATTATTTTACTGTATTATATTGGTATAAACCAGGGCTCCATAAAACACAAGATGTCTCGGGGGGGGGTTACACCAAGTAAAGCTGTGGATAAGTATTAGTTCCCATAACGTATCACAGTTCAAAAAAGACAATAAACTGGAACAGCTGTCAGGGCTTAGAAGTATACTTTTTATATCTAGAATTAAATATAGTAGTCTCTTAATTTCACAGCACAGGGAAGAGTTTATGAATATTTATTAGCAACAGCATTTTAGTGAGTTTCAAAAGTTAAAATAAATTGCACACACTTCAAACACTTTTTCCTGTACATAAATAATTCTGCTCCTCTTCTTTTTTTTTTTTTTTTTTTGTTTAAGTACATACTTTTCTCTGTTGCTACTGTGATTTATATAAAAAAGGACAAAGAACAGGAGCAACTGCTGCTATCTGGAGAACAAGTGCAGTGCACGATACTGAACTCTATCTTGCTTACAGAGCAGTTCTTGCCTGGATAACATTTTCTTCTGAATGTTGTTCTGTGAAATGCCTTTGTTATGCTGCAAATCTAAAAGAGTCCAAACTAGACAATTGTCATAATTGCCAGTGCAGTTTCTACATTTTGGGTTTGCATCACTGTTTTCAGCTGAACCTGTAGCTGTGGGCCCCTGTTATGTTCTTTTTTTCAGTGGGAGCAGAATCATTTTGTCACACTTTGAATTCTGTAGTCACATCAAATGTACAGTCGTTCCCTGTACAGATTCCTTTTTAAACAAGAATATTTGTGTTGCCTTGTATTGTTATGGAGGGGAGGGAGAGGATGAGGAATTACAGCACCTGTAATGCTCCCGTAGTGGTGTTGCCTGCAGGCCCACTTTTCCACTGCTTTAAATTCCCGCTGTCTTCTGAAAGTAAAGCTTTTGCATTTGCATTGATTTAGTGTTTGCTGTTAGCTTCATGCCTACAGATGCTCACCAGTAATAATGTAAAGGGGGTAGGTAATTGTTTTGGTGTCCTGTGCTGGGTCATAGATAGCCTTTGGCTTAGGGTTTAAGTAGGTAAATAATATAAATCTGTTTACAACTTAAGCTTAATTTTAGTATTTCATATTTCTAGTTCATTTACTGTTTGAGTTTGTTTCAAAAACCTTAATTTTCTGTATTCAGATGCAAGTGGCTGGCTTACAGGCCCAGCAGTTATCACTGCTGTCCTACATTTAGGACCAGTGTTTGAAAAGCACGCCACTAGCAATTGCAGTGGTTTTGCAGGCAAGTGTCTGTTGCTGTTCCCATGAGCACAACAGAGGAGCAGTACCTTCAATTATTTGAGGAACTGATGCAAGGTCAGCCTTAGATCCTAGTTTGGCACTCTTGGTATGCATAAATCTCTTCTGAAAGGCTATGGGAGATTTCCTTGTATTGAAACTTGTAGTCTAGACCAAGCCTAGAATGACCCTGGAAGCATGAGGGTGATGCTTGTGTTTGAAAATGACTGCAGAAACTCACCTACATAAACTTTGTTTCACCAGCTGTGTTGGTCAGTCGGTGATGACCATGCTGTAGGCATAGCGCGGGTCATAGGCAACACCTTTGTTTTAAAAGCATACTTACAGTGGTTCTGAGTCATTGTGCTTCAGAAGGGGAAAATCAACACTGAACAACTCCTGTGTCTTGATCAAGGAATACCACGCTTGTCCACAAGAAGCAATAACTTAAATTACGGAGTGATATACGCTTCTTTGCCTGTAAATATCTTGAGGTTGCCAATTCTGTGCTGTTTCAGTGTATTTCCTGTCGTCTGGCCTGTATCTTCCCTATGTATGTAAGGGTGTGAAGTAATTCCCATACTCAGGTCTGCCATTAACATGCTACTTGCCAGGAGGGGAAGAGTAGACTCCACACTGTCTTGAAATGTGAGATGTTTCTGAACTTGTAACATACCCATATATCTTGAGTAGCAACTTGTGTTTTGAAGTTCATAGTGGAGGTAGCTATGAGTTGGATTGTATATAACCATATCCCATACAACACCAAGAGAGCCATGCCACTGTCCCCACGGGACATGCACTGTCCTTTCTCTCATAATAAATCAGTATATCTGTACCAACACTTCCTTTTTAAAGGAGGTAGCTAATTTTCTTTCTACGTGTATGTTCATACGGGAGACATAAAAGCAAAAATGCAAAGCACACTGCAGTTTGTGGGCAGAATAAAGCCTAAACGAACGGTCTTGCTTGTAATCAACTTTACTTTCATATTCAAGGGTAAGTGTACTGCAGTGTTTTGAAATGACAAATGTGTAGATGATGCACGAAGATGTAGGTGGATACTAGTGGCCTCTTTTTTTTCCCTTTTATGATGTAAAGGGGGGGTTATGATCTAATCTTGAGTTTATCCATTTATCCTAGTTCTTTATGTTAGGGGCATTGGCTTTTTAATTAAGTCTTTGCTAAATGGCTGGAGAACTGGTAAAATTGACACCCTTCTGAAAACTAAAACCTCAGCAAATGTGGGAAAGGTAATTTTTATTCAGAACTATGGATCTTTGGCGTTTCTGGATGGAAAATGTCTAGCACATAAAATGTGCTTACGGATGCTTTTAGTATGCTGTCTTTTCCATGTGAGGGCTGCAGAAACTCGCTCCGTTTCTTATGCATTTTACCAAAAGCAGGAAACTCATCACTTCAATGTTACTATCTCTGCATAAACAGCAACAAAGCATACATTATTTTTACTATAGGCCATATTCTGTCTGAGTTTCTGTGAATTTTAGCTGCTTTCCCATATTGAAAGAGAGTAGTTGTGTGCAGATTTGCTATTGCTGTTTTGTACCTGCTAATTTGGCTGTACGGTGGGGGTTTCCTGCCAAGAGACTACCATATACCTGGGAGTGCAGCGCTGCTACTGCCACCTCACCTTTCCAGTGGAGGATTATCTCATTTTTTGATGAGTGCTATATTTTGTGATTCACCTTCCACCCTTCCAAGATTAAAAGTCACTTTAGTATCTATTTCTTCTCCTCTTCCTAGCTGAGGTCATGATACATTTTAGGCCATATTCTTTCGATCTTTGGACAGGCTTTGTGTTGGCATCAGCAAAATTAATGTAAGAGGCTGTAGCCGGAAGAAAAGGGCTTGTTACAGGTTCGCTACAACCCAGCTAAACGTGTGTTTTTCCTGCAGCAGTGTCATCAGCTCGTACCACTTAACTTATTGTTATTCAAAATGCTCTGCATGAGAAATTCACAACAGAACTATGTCTAGGATTTGTTTCCTGAATGTGGAACTTACATTTCTCCATATAAATCAACCTCCTTCTAATATCAGGCTAAAGATGTTTTAGCCTGTGGTTAAAAACAATCCCCAGTCCTCACTCTGCAGTTGTCCCAGGTTGCATTTGGTTGTCTTGTCACACAGTTCACTGGCTTCCCAGGCTGCTGCATCACATTCTGTAAAGTCATTTCACAGTTAAGTCCATCAGAGCTGACGATGGGATAAACTGTAAAACAACCCTTCTGTGGGGCGTTATTGGTTTCTGATGACTTGCTCAGGTAAACCACTGCAGGAATATCCTGCACCTCAAAAAGGCTGGACTTGGTTGTGTCTTTGGTGTAGTAAGTTGCCACTGCACAAGAAGTGGAAGGCAGCAAGCCTGCTAGCTGATCTTTCTGGCAGCTTTTAATCCATGTATGTTTGTTTGAGAGACTTTTGCCCTTGGGTGTGCTTTGGCAAAGATTTTGCAATGATAAGTAGGATTTGCTTGATTCTGGCAGAGTTTCAAGTATAAGTAACCCGACGTTGCAAGAACATAATCTGTTGCTGAATCCTGTTCATCTTGTTTTCCCTCACATCTGCCCCTTTCATTGCTAATTTGTTATATTTAACAGTAAACACTTCTCAACAGGATGGGTCGCACGATCTCAAGATGTGAAATGCTAACAGAAGAGGCATCGAAGCATGGTTCTGTGCTCTTCCTGTATTTATTAAGATGAGGCTGAAGTATTTGTTACCGTACAGTCAGGAGCTCCCTCCTGGCTGATATTGCCAAAGCAGTGTAACTTTCAAGGAAGAAGGGAGGTGGCTCAGCTGTAGAGGGGATGTTTTAAGGAACTACTTAATTTTACAAGCTGCAGCATCACACTGAATGGGTGGTGATCAGCATTATTCCTATCATTTGATTGGGAATTGCATTCTGGCTCTTCCTACCCTTTGGCAGGTACCTGCTGGTGGGGAGCAGAGTGTATATTCCCCTCTATGCCTCTTCCCACAGAGCTCACCCTGCCCACAACAAGTTAGAGGGAACTCCATGCTAGTTTCTGGAATGCCACCTAACGTGCAGCAGTAATGGACGAGATGTCTTCCTTCATTACCAGAAATCAGAATGTAATCTGCAATGGCTAATGTAAAACATACTCAGTTTGGGGTTTTTCTGTTGTTCTGGTTTTGGTTTTTTTGATCTAGCAC